CTTTATGTCATGTTGGAGAGCAGGTCAGATGGGAGACACTGTCACAACCATATTTGGAAAGTATAACCTGCCATGATGTCATATAATCTTCCTTCTTCACTCTGAAAATGTGACAAATTTACATGTTTTTGTCTTTGTTTTTCTAATTTTAGATTAGTTATACTAGCCTTTCTTTGGTTTTTTGGCGAATACCTTTTTATGTCCTTTTAATTTAATTTGACCATGAGTACTATCCTTATGGGTGAGGTATATTTATTATAGGTGGTGTAGACATGCTTCTTTTAAAAAAAAAACAAAAAACTTTCTGACTACTCTTGCCTTTTACTTGGAGTTTTTGTTCACTTGAATTTAATGCAGTTACTGGCATATGGAGATGTCTGATACCATTTTTTTCCCTATTAGCACAGTGGACTACTTGTTTTTTTTTTCCTCCTTTCTTGTCTTTTTGTTGTTGATCAGTTTTAAAAATTATTAGTTTCTCACTTTTTTTTTTTTTTGTGGTACTGGGAGTTGAACTCAGGGCCTTTACCCCAAGCCACTCCACCAACCCTAGTTTTGTGAAGGATTTTCCGAGATAGGGTCTCGAGAACTATTTGTCCAGTCTGGCTTTGAACCACGATCCTCCTGATCTCTGCCTCCTGAGTAGCTAGGATTACAGGCATGAGTCACTAGCACCTGGCTCTGAACATACTTTAATTCCACTTGAACCCTGCCCCAAGTTGTGTGTTACTGTTGTCATGTAATTTAATTCTACACAATTTTAAAACTCACAAGATGTCACCCTTTCTTTTTTCACAGTCAACATTAATTTCGCTCACTCCCACACTCTACCTGTCCCTTGCTCTTCACCCTGACCCCCCACATTTGCCTCTGTCTAGAACCATGTCTGTCCCATTGCTATTTTTTTCAAGGCCAGTCTGTTAGCAATGAACTCTCCATTTGTTGGCCTGGACATGCCTTTCGAAGGGTCTTTTCACCGGTCTTGAATTCTACGTTGGTGGCTGTGTTATTGGTATTCCTATGTCAGGCCAGAGGTCAGTGCCTGGTGCTAACCTCCCCCACATTGGACCAGGACAGAGGTCAGTATCCAAGACTGGATCCAGAGCCTACCTGGTTCTAGTAGTGTGGACTTCAGGTGCCACCTGGTGGCTGCCTTCATACTGTCCCAGTGGCGCTGGCTCGGGTGTTTGTACATGTGCACTCTATTGTCGTCTTCTTACTCGGTTCCATCTGTTGGCATGTCCTGTAATTTTCCAGTGGGTGCCAGACATTATAAATGAAAACTTAGGGGTGCCAAACTCCGCACAGGAGAATTAACTGTAGCTTCTGGCTGAGGTCTGTGGTTGGAGTAGGGTTCTGTGTGTTGGGCTGATGCATTTCCTGTTTGCTTTCTTCCTGGGCTACAGTTTTCAGGGGCCCCAGGTTGTTTATTAGCTCCTCCAGGCTGGGCTCTTACCTTCATCTTAGTTTCTCTGTGGTGGTCAGTCAGTCAGTCAGTCAAGATCTCTGCTCACCTCTCAGCCTCTCACTACTGCTTCAGTTTGGTGCTCATGCATTAGAAACCCCCAGGTTTTGGCACGGGGGCGAAGTGTGGAGAAGGAAACTTCTCTGCACTCCCTTCTCTCTGAGCCAGTCCTCATCTCTTACCCTGTTACCTACCGTACACCTCTGCTGTGCTAAAAGCGTAATGCGTATTTTCACAGATTATGTTTGTCTTCCTAGGTTAACGGAAGCAGGGTGTGGTGACATGAAACTGAACCACCTGTGTCCACACTGCTTCATGGGCTCTGGGTCTTGGGCACAGTGCTAATTGTCTGTTTTACATCTGAAAGGCCAGGTTTCCTCCTGTCCTTCCTCTCTCCAGCAGTGGTGGTAGTGGGGTTGATTCTGGAAATTAAGTTGGGAATCGGTTTGAGGGTCTTTGGTGAAGGTCGGAGGGTCTGCCGATCTTAGGGACAATGCAGGCTGGGCGGAGGCTGCAGCTGGGCAATGCTCCCACTATGTGCAGCACTGGGCTGGCAGTAAGGAGTGGACTGGCTTCTAGCTCTGTGCCTCATTGGCTTCTGGCTACATGAGAAGAAAAAAATGTGAGCCCCACTGATATGATATATGCGAAAGTGCTTTGTGATTTCAGGTGTCTGCAAATGCAAATGGCAACTTCTTGTCTTCATTTTATGGGGTAAATTTAGGTCATATAAATAGAAGTACAGAGCTCTGAACAAGGGAGGTGAGGGTGACAGTCCAGTGACAGGCTTACAACTGCTACTGATGCTGATAACAACGCAATGGAAAAGGACCAACACTTATTACCATCCTAACATTCACATGTAACTCCTTATTTAATTCTTATAGCAAGTCTGTGAGGAAGGCCTTGCCATCTCTTGCTCATGGAGAGCAGAGGATGGGGGATGGGGTTAAGCCCGGGTCAGTCAGACCTCACTCCCTTCTGTAGACCTGCAGCTGACCTGGGTTACGGGTGATGTTAGCTTCTGTTCCTGAGTCTTCTCAGTGGCAGCCAAGAAGTCTGTGAAATGCATCCCGGGGGCCCATGCCCAGGGCATGGTGTGAGAGGCTGGAGCAAATTCATCGTCTTTACAAACTTACTGTGCAAGTGCGTGTGTGTGCAGACTCTCCTAAGGCCATGTGGGAAGTAGAACTACTGCTCCGTGGCGAGGGGGGCTGAGAGGGAGGGGACAGGGAAGGAGCAGCATTTACTCTCTACCTGCTCCTTGCCACTTTCTCAATTTTTTCTTTTTTTTTTTTTTTGTGATACTGGGGCTTGAACTCAGGGCCTACTCCTTAAGCCACTCCACCAGTCCTTTTTTGTGATGGTTTTTTTCCAGATAGAGTCTCAGTGAACTATTTGCCCAGGCTGGCTTTGAACCTGGATCCTCCTGATCTATGCCTGATCTATACCAGAGTAGCTGGTGTGAACCACCAGCGCCTGGCTCTCAATTTTTTAAACTATAGGCATGTGTTGTATTTGCAATCAAAATGGGTAGAAATTTTGGGGACTGGGGATGTAGCTCAGTGATAAAGAGCTTGGCTAGCATGGATGAGGTCCTGGGTTCTATTCTCAGCACTGCAAAAACAAAACAAAACAAAACAATGCAGAACAGGATGAGGGCTTCCCCCATCTGAACTGGAGCCACCAATGGAATTGGGGGTACATCTGCTCTTCTTAGGGTCCCTAGTGGAGGAGGGGAGATCCAGCTGTCCTTTAGGGGCAAAGGTGGCTGCTCGTTTGCTAGCCGTGCGACTGGCCAATTGGGCGGGCACACAGGCCAGACTGTCCCCTCACTGACTGCCTCAGATACCTCACTGTGTGGCCACCCTGTCCCAGGTTGGAAGCAGCCCCTTCGACGCCTTCTTTTGGTTTCCCTTCACCTGGACCTGCCTGGTGCTAGGACTCCCTAATTACCAAACTACACCAGCCCACGAGTGTCAGTTCCACATTTCACAGATGGGGAAACTGAGGCTCAGGGAGGGGCAAGGACTCTCATAGCATCAGGACTAGAACCCAGGTCCTCTACTTCCACATCAGAATTCTTTGCATCCCACCTGCTTCCCATTGTTTCCAGGTGAGTTTCCAAGGAAGTCAAGGGGAAAAGGAAGGGCAGCTTGCCTCGGTGGCAGGTAGAGTGCAAGGGTGTTTGAATGGGTGGTCCTCAGGGACCCCAGACAATGTGCCTGCTGAGGGGCCATCTGTTTGAAATGACTGTCCCATACGTGATGGTCCATCCTCCCCCAGGCCACTGCACTCACCCACCCCACCCCCCCTCCTTCTCCCCCATGAACCCTCACCCCATCCTCCTCTTGCTAGAAGGCCTCCTGAATGCCACAGCTCCAGGTCTGCTGGTCTCCAGGTGGCAGAGCAGTGTGCTATGTGTCTATGTGCTGGGTGCCCTGCCTGCCTCCCTACCAGATGCTCTGAGAGCACAGGGACTTTCCCTTGTCTCACACCAAGCCCACAGGTGCTCCCCAGGCCCAGAGAGATGGCTGGGTGACAGCTGGCACCAGCCCCAGAGCCACAGGTCCCAGGATGTAAGAGCTGGCAGGGCCACCAGAACCACAGGTTAAATGAGCTCTACACCCTGGGTTAATGAGACCGGCTTCCCAGAACCTGTAACACGCTGGTGGATATGGGGACCTGAGGTCCATAGAGCGGGGGATGAGATTAAATGGGCCACTGCAAGCCACTCAGCACTTTTCACTCCCAGCTACTTCCGTCTGTGGGAAAGTCAATACCAATATTGATCGGAACAATACCCTTCACCGCCACCTGCAGGACACATCTCAAAGCGAATAAGCAAGTCTACCATTTGTGTGGGAGTGGGACCACCTTCCCCCCTAGGTGGGGTTTCATTGTCCAGTGTGTAACCTGCCCAACCATGCATCGCCACCCTGGCTCAAAGTCACCTGATCCTAAGGTGCTTATCATCCTCCTTTGCCTGACAACATTGTCCTGTCCCAGGTGAGTGTTCTGAACCGACCTCCCAGCCTCAGCCCCAGTGGGACACCCCCATCTGCACTGGGGGGCAGGCAGGGATGCTGGGGCCTTCCTGTCACCCTCCCACCTGTGACAGACCTCAGTAACTGACTTCTGAGCAGATTCTATGCATGCTCCTGCACTGAGAGTCCCAGCTGGTGAGCAGGGACTTGCTGCGTGACTACAGGGAAGTGCATTCTCTCTGGGCTGGTTTCCCCTTCTGTGAAATGAGGCTGTTGTGCTCAGAGAGTTGACAGTGACACCTGGTCCCAGGGAGTTTTGGGAAGGGTGGGACAGTTATTGCCAATTACCAAGAAGACAGCAGGCTACAACCTGGATTTTTTTTATTAGACTAGGAAATATAATTTATTTCATAAAAATTAATCTTGTTACAATAGGAATGCTAAATGTTATTTACAGGTTGTAGTTTACAGAATGAACAGAGGTGGGGTTCGGGGCCATCCCTGGAGTTCTGCACCCCCTGGATGCAAAACCATGTGCGTGGCCTGGGCAGGGGTCCAGCCCTTCGCCCCCAGGAGAGCTGCCCCTCCGAGATCCTGGGCACCTGCCCCCACAGGGCCTGTGGAGGGGCCTGGCTCAGCTGCCTGGGAGCTGGGGGAAGGGAACCAGAGGGCCCTGGATGGTGTAGGGATGAAGAGGTTCCCCACACCCTTGGGAGGCCCCTGGCCTGAAACCAGAGCTCTGAAGCCTGGGCACCAAGAGAAGGCAGGAGAGGCACATAGGAGATACACTGACTGACCCTGTAGACTCAGAGAGGGCAGAGAACAGGTGTGCCTCCTCCAGATGCACAAACCTGGGTGCAGACAAGGCTACACCCCCACACGCAAGTGGGGACAGGTACGCATGATCCTTGAGGGGCACCCTGATGTGCCCGTGGAAAAAAGCACAGATGCACACACGCTCGCATGCACGCATACTCCGTGAAGAGAGACCAAACACCATGTGTGGCCCTGCAAGGCTTGACAGCACCTACACTGTTGCTGGTCAGGAATGGCTTCTCTGATCTGCTTCCTAGGAGGGAGGGAGGGAAAATCTCCCCCACACCCCAGCAGTGAGGGGGAGACTCTCCGCCATACCCCAGCAGGCAGCATGGCCCCTGCTGCCTCAGTGAGTGATGGAGTTGGCAAATGCTCTTCTTATTCAAGCTGGGTGCTCTTGAACCCTCCAATCAGTTGGATCTGTACTACAGGCCCTGGGACACAATTTCTGGAAGCCATATTGGAAATGGCTGGCTGGGCCTCACCCACCAAGAGCGCCTGCCCTGGGGATCGCAAGAACGCTTCTGAGGGTAGGCAGGGGAAGACAGTATAACAGACCACAGTCAGCTTCTCCCACCACAGCTCCTTTGCTAAGCCCCAAAAGGGCATCAGAACCCAGAAGGCCTCTGACCTGCAGCTCTCCAGGCATAAAAAAAAGGCCTAGAAGGCAGTGATATGCCTGAGGTCATAGAGCAGTGTCACAGTGGAACTGAAACTCAGTTCCTGTTCTCTGGATCTCAGGCTGCAGGAGTGCATTTTAGAACCTGTGATGGAGAGGCACCAGCAAATCCTGCCACAGCACAGGTCTGCTCCAACCTGGCAAGGCTGTCCCAAAGCCACTGGCAGAGGCCCTCTCCTGTGCTTGTGCTGACAGTGCCCAGAGGGGCCAAGCCCACAGGGCACAGGAGGCTTTGGTGGGGAAGGTTCAGTGCCTGTGAGAGGCAGCGTCCACACAGACACCCAGGGCAAGGGCCTGGGTCTTGCTTCATCTACCTCTGGCCAACTCCACCCCAGGGAATTGCTGGCTGGTGAGAAGCCCTTTGAATCACCGATGCTACAGCAGGGAATGGTGGCTGGGTCTACAGCTCTGAAAATTTCTCCCCACTCAGGAAACCAGATTTTCAAAGACCAGTACATGCCCAGGCTGGTCCCAGGGGCAGCTCAGGAGCCTGTTGAGGCAAATGGTGGTGTCAGTGCCCAAAGCATGGGGGGCAGCTGGCACTTGCCTTGCCTTGGGTGCTAAGGAGTGGCCTTTGAAGAGGCCTCTGTCGGCAGTGAGAACCTGGTCCCAGCCATCACCATCCCTCCCACTTAGGCCTTGGTGGAACGTTCTCTAACAGGCTGGGGTGGTGGTGGGTGCAGCCCCTCCACACTGGCAACCTGCCCACTAAGAAAGGAGAGTCCAGGACTGGTGGAATGTCTCAAGTGGTAGAGTGCCTGCCTAGCAAGCATTAGGCCCGGAATTCAAAAGTAAAAAGGTGGGAACACAGCCCCCACCTCCAGCTCCACTTTTCAGTGCTCACACCCCAGGGGGTGACTGCTGATGTGTTCTGCAGCTGTCCCCAAGGTGGGAAGCTTGTGCTTCTGCAGCCACACATGTCCTTGGATCATTCCTTCTGCTGCACAGGAGAAATGGAGGTGCGGAAGATCAGACTCTGGACTCCTGGGTGTCAGGGGTCTCACCTGGTCTCAAGGCTGCTGGGTTAGGGTGGGGATAGGCGGTGCCTAGCTGGGCCCAGCATGGAGATAAAGCTATTTAGTTTCCAGAGATCCTCTAGGATCTCTCCATGAGCCCACTCCTGGGCCCCAGCCCCTATCTAAAAGCCACCAGATTGAGAGCAGACCAGAACATTCTACCCGGCTCACAGTTGCCCTGCCTCCTCCTTCCCATCCCCAACTCAGGACCTTTTAATACGGACTCCAAGAAGCCAGAGGAGCCTGAGGGCATCTGCCTGGGGCTGTGGGAGGGGAGGGAGTCCTGTAAGGCTCCAGTCCTCCATTCCTTTGCTTTATGGATTCAGACTCTGCTTAAGATTTGAGAAGGAAACTTGGGTACTGGGTTTAAAACCCTTTCTGACATGCTCCCTGCACAGCCAGGAAACTGGGGCCCTGATAGAATTTAGTCCAAGATTCATTAGCAGCAAAGAATTCCCTGTTCAGTCTCTCTCCCCCAACACACGGGCATACACACACACTTGCACACACATGTACACACACACACCCCTGCCAGAAGCATTATATCATGTCCACTCTCACAAGAAAAAAGTGTTCTATTTTTTTGTTTGTTTTTTGTTTTGTTTTCTTTTTTTTTTCTTAAAAAGGACTCATCCAAATATCTGGATAATAAATCGTTTGCGTTTCCTAAGAAACTGGGTTTTTCTTTTCCCTTGTGGTTTTGGTGTCTTCTCTGAGCCTCACTAGTGTTGGAGGCTCTTTCTTTCCTTCCTGATTCTTTTTGCTTGTGGATGGGAGAAAGCAGTTTGAATTGTTCATGACTCTTCAAAGAGGGAAGGGATGTAAAAGCTGAGGGGGTGAGGGGCGGGGAGTCACAGCTGAGGAAGAAGTCAGCACAAAACTGAAACCCACGGGAGAGGGTGGTGTGGAGAGAGGCCACCTCTTGGTTCCAGTCTGGCCAGAGGCCCCAGCCTCTCCTCGACTGAGAGCTAGGAGACAGCAAGGGGTGGAGGGACACCTGGCCTCTCAGCACAGAGCGTGTGGGTTTTCTAAGGCTGGTTGTGGTCTGAGGGTTGGGCAGGGAAGAGGAGGAGGAGAGAGGCAACTGTAAGCTAGGGGGCAGCAGAGGCCACATAGCTCCCATGGGAGGCTGCCTGGGCCTCCCTGCACTGCCTCCCGCCTGTCCCTGCCCCTGCCAGACCCAGGTTCAGCAGTCTCCGTCAGTGGCCATGGCTACCAGCATCTCACTTTTGCCCATCTCCTCCAAGGCACAGGCCAGGCTGTTGAGGTCCCCGTCATCCTGCTGCAGAGCTTCCCAGAGGTCCAGGATCACACCTGTAGGGCTTGCTTTGGTGGCAAAGTAATTCAGGTACCTGGGGGAGGAAGAAGGGGGCATTGGCACTCTTGCTAGTGCACTCAGTACCTCCCAGGAGTATCTCCCAGAGAGCAGTGGGAAGTGGGAAGGCTGGACTCCAGCATTCTGCAGTCCTAGGTCTGAATCCCAGCTCCTCTTCTTGCAGGCTGTGTGGCCCCAGGCAAGCAGGCACACCTCTCTGAGCCTCAGTCCTTTCCCAAAATGGGAATGATGTCAATTACTTCCTGTATGGTTTGGATATGAAGTCTCCCCCCAAAAGCCTCACGTATTGAAGCCGTGTTCAGGGGTGGAGTACTGGGGAAGTGATTGGGTTATGAGGACTCCTGCCTTTATCAATGAATTCAAACACTGATGTATTCAAAGTCTGAATAGACCATCTGGAGGTGGTGGAACTGTGGAAGGTGAGGTCTGGTTGGAGGAAGTGGATCACTAGGGAGGCTGCCTTGCCCTGGTCCCTTCCTGTCTGCATCTCTCAGCTTCCTGTCTACCACAGGTGAGCTGCTTATTCTACCTCATGTTCTCTGCTATGACATTCAGCCTCACCTCAGGCCCACAGCAGTGGAACCAGCCGACCACAGACAGAAGCCTCTGAAACTGTGAGCCAAAATAAATCCTCCCTTAAGCTGTTTGTCACAGCAATGAAGAGCCTGATTAACACACCGTCCTACACTGTAGACAACACACAAGGTCATGTCAAGCCAGGCTTTAGAACCGTCCCTCATCTTCATCATCATCATCATTGAAAGACCTTGGCACCAGGAGGGGCTGTCTGAGCCCAGCATGCCACACTTGCCCTGTTATCTTTCTTCCCTGCCTGATCTTGCCTCCTGAGCTCAGGGCAGTTCTTCGTAAGAGCCTTAGCCATTTTTGTCAGTCTCATGCATCTCTAGTAAGATGTCTTATTCATAGCATCTGCTCAAGGCAGGTGGATTAAACATACTTTCAATTACGTACACTACTTCTTGTCACTGATGGATATAGTGTATGTTTTCCAAGAATTTCGATGCTCTGTACACTCTGTCATTCAGCAGGCATTTCAGGATCCCTTGCTCCACCTGGGCACTGGGGGTCGATGGTGACCACACTTGGTTGGTGTCAGGGCCCCGTCTGATTGTTGGGCCTTCCCATGACGTGGCAGGCAAGCCGTTTTCCCACACACGGGAGCAGAGCCAGGCTTGGAGGGTGTGCAGGTCTCTTACAGGTCAGTGATCTGAGCACATTGCTCCGCAAAGGAGGAGGGTTCTCAGACTTAGCACATCCAAACCCAGCTCCTGATCTGCTGGGAATAATGGCCCATGGGCAGCCAAGCTGGAAGCTGGCCTGGACTGTCAGGATACCTGCCTGACAGTCCTTGAGGAACAAGGGGCCTGGGTGGTGGTGGTTGGAACACTTACCGGTCCATGGACAGCTTCTGTGCCAATAGCCGCCAGTCATTGCCTCGTGAGTTGGGGGCATCGAGGCTGTTGCAGATCTTCTGGCGAATGGAGAGTGGTATCTTGAAGGCATAGGGTCCCAGCTGGGTGGTGACAGCACTGCCAGGGGCAGAGCAGAGGGCGTCCAGGGAGCCAGCAGGTGTCTGGAAGGGCAGGGGAATAGTGAGAGGCGCATGTGTCCCTGCAGCCTCCCCATTTTGGGTTCACAAGCTCAAGGAAGCTTGAGCCCTCCACCTCTTCTGGGTAGTCTCCAGCAGTTCAGGTCCCAAGGGCAAAGGCTCCAGGGGCATGTCTCTCCCCTCTCTTCTCCCTCTCCCCCAGCAATACTGACACAGAGGAAGTAACTTAACCAGGGTCACATGCTATGTGGGTGGCAGAGCTGGCTCCGGATCTATATTCAGTGATTTTCATCCTGTACTGGAAGGAGGACCTAGCATCATCACCCTGGGTGGCCTGGGGTTCTACACCTCAGTCTGGATTTATAGCTCAGTCCTGCCATTGACCTTGGTTCGAATCCAGTTTTGCCTGATACTTGACCTCCCTAAAGCTTCTTTCTCATCCGCCAGCTAGGAACAATCACAACCGTTTCCCTGGTGGATGTGATGACTTGTGAGGACATGCTACACACATGAACAGTGCTCAGTAAATGACAGTTGTTAGTCAAAAATGACCAAAGTCATGCTGGGACTCAGAAGGCGAAGGGCGGAAGCCTTTATGGGAGATGGCATTTCCACCCAGATGAGCAGGGAACATGGGGTCTATGTGTTGCAACACCACAGGGGTGTCACCTGGCCCTCACCTCAGCGAGAGTGGTGTGCAGCTGGAATATTTGGCCTTCCCCTTCCACCTGTCGCACGCAGATCTTGCAGGAGAACTCTGTGGAAGCCAGGCTGTGCCTCTCCAGGGTGAAAGTGCAGTGCAGGGCCTTCTGGCTGCCACTCCAAATGTGATAGAATGGGATCTCCTACGGGAGGCAGTGGTCAGTGCTGCAGGCGAGGCCAGTTGCCTGCCCTTCTGGAGAATGGTGCAATGGGTGGAGGGCTAGCCTCAGGGAGGGTTGGGGCCTTTGGAAGCAGTTCAGGGGTCTCTCCCCAGATGGGCAGAGGGAGAAGAGCTGGCCGAGGGCCCTTAAGCTGGCCAGTTGGGTCTCATCAGGCCCTTGGTTCTAGCAGGGAGTTTAGAAAAGAGGTGTGGGGGGAAGGCACTGAAGGTATGTGTGTGGATGGTGTGTCACACACTGTCTGGGAGCATGGAGCTTGGTCAGGGCCTGGTGGGGGGGGCCAGTCCTCCCTGGGCTGCACCCTAAAATGTACCTTTCCCCAGGCCCAGCCTCACCTGGTACTTGGCCAGCAACTTGCTTCTCCAGTGGGCATGGGGGATGTCATGAAGGGAGAGTCGCAGGTTGTGATAACTGTCCTTGAACAGCAGGGGCTTGGGCTCCTCCACCAGATAGCCACCCAGAGTCCGCTCCAGCTCCAGCACCTCCTGTGGGTGGAGTAGTGGGGAGGGGGAGCCCGTCACACCTGGCTCATCTTAGCAGAGTATGGAACCCATCTGACTCATTTAGAAGATGCTTTAGATGAATGGATGGACAAAAAAGGATGAATGAATACATAGTAGATGAGTGCGTAAATATATTTATAGATGAACTAATGGATGGATGGATGAATGGGTAATTGGATGGATGGACAGAAAGAGATTTATAGATGGATATGTAAATGGAGGGGTGTGTGAGTAGAAGGATATCTGGAAGGAAAGATAACTGGATTGGATGGGTGGTGAATAGAAAGACATGTGGCTGTTGACTGAATGAGAATATGGACAGAAGAACAGAAAGAGAGATGGATGGATAAATAGATGGGGGATGGATAAAACAAAGAATGCCATGAGGCTAGAATGTGGCCATTTCCGCTTGATCTCCTCACCACTCTCTGGGCAAGGTGGACATTCCCCATTGCCTCATACCAGAGCCACATGCAAGAGCATTTCCTACTGCTTCACACCCTCTCGGGCCTCCTGGAATTCCAGGCTAGCTCAATCCCTGCAGGAGACACTCACTCTCCCACGGGGCCTTTTCACCTGTGTTGCATCAGGCTGCAGCATGGAGTCTGAGACTAGCCACAAGAGACCGGGAGACAACAGAGCTGGGAGGTACAGCCCAGGGCTGGGAGAAGGCACAGGGGTGGGAGGTGGAGGGATTAACTGTTTGTTCTCTTCCAGTGCTATGTTAGGATGGGACTGAGGTCCTGGGACCAGGGTGAAGCTAAGAAAAGGGAGGGACAGAGGCTTTGAGGCTGGTGTGGAACGGGTGTGCTTACACAGGGCTCTGCATCTGCCATTGCCAGGCTGGAGCACTAGATCCAGGTTCATCCCCTCCCTCACTCTGCACTAAGAGTTCCTCACCTGGTATGGCCCCTTGTTCACTTAGGGCACCACTGCCCATTCTTTTGCATCCACTAGGAACCTGGCTCTCAGCCCCCACTCCTCTCCTTCCCAGTCCATCTTATCATCCCCTGTTCATTCTGACTAAACAGAGTCCAGGCCCCCTCTCCTGGTCACTGCCACTGCCTAGAGCCCAGGGCAGGCCCCAGCTTCCTAACTAGCATCTCTGATTCTCCTCTGTCCACCCCTGCAGTGTAGCCAGAGGGCATCCTAAAGAGCACCTTCCGTGCTGGGTGTGGTGGTGCATACCTGAGACAGGAGGGTTGCAAGTTCTAGGTCCTTTAGTTCTAGACCCTGTCTCAAAAAACCCACAGAAATAAGATAAAAAATAATTACAGCATGTTCTAGGTCTAGCCCTCTTGTCACCGGACAGCTTCCAATCCCTTGGTATGGCCCTGAGGCTACTGAAAGGTGAGCCCTCCCAACCTCACAAATCCCCTATACAGGTCATTCACACTGACCACACACCTGCCTTGACAGAAGCTGCTCTGCCTGGCTGAAAGCCCTTCCCCCTCTGTGCAGAGTGCCAGCTTGCTATCTGAGGCTTAGGTCTAAGGTCTGCCTTCTCAGATTCCATCAGTGTACTCAAGAAATTTCCCTGTCTGTCTGCCACCTCTACCCCAGAGCCTGGTGAGACAGGATGTGGCTTTCATCCCTGTCCTGAGGGTCCAGAGCCATTTGGATGTTTGAAGAATGCTTGAGTGATGAAAGCAGGTGGAGGGGAGCCTGGAAGAGACCTTGCTGGAGAACCACGCAGCTGACCAGCTGCAGTGATGCACCTGCAGCGCCCCAGGGTTGTGTGCCCCCTGGTTGGCTCTACCTTTAGCGCTATAGGCGTGTCTTCCAGGCAGTAGACCCTGAGGCTGTACTCCAGGGAGGTGCAGAGGGCTGGGGCAAAGATGGCCAGCTGGAGGCGCTTGATTGCTGAGCGGGAGTAGGACTCGCCCGTGAACACATAGGTGCCCAGCTGGTCCAGTAGGATGTGGCAGGCCCTGGCCTCTAGCTGGCAGTAGCAGGGGGTATTGAGTGTCTCCTCATCCAGGGTCACTACCTCCTGCAGGGAGAGATCAGGGGTGGAATGAATGGACATTGTCATCTGGGTTGGGGCAGGTTTGAAGAGCTGGCTGGTCCCAAGCCTGGGCTCCTCACCTCCCAGTGGCCCTGATGGGCCTGGGTCTTGAGTTGGAAGATCCAGTCACCAGCACGGACTTCAGCACAGTGGGGCACAGTGAGGATGACAGGGCGGCACAGCAGGAGGCCTGTGGGTCCGCAGGTTACCGAGGGGCTCAATACTGTCTGGGTCCCTTCCGAAAGTGGACTGGGGGCAGGACAGAGAGAGACAGTTAGGGAGCCCCCAAATCCAAAAACTGACTGGTGACGAGGGTTGGTATCTACCACTCAGGGTGCCAGGCTCACAGGCAACACAGGGGTGGAGGGAACGGAGAAAATGACATAAACCTTGAAGTTGGCTCCAGATCTTTGCTTTTACACTGTGACTTTCTCACAAGCCAAATCTTTGTGCATACTTTCAAAGGTTCTGTGCTTTTAAACATTCTTAATAAATGTTGTGAAATCACCCTCCAGAGGGCTGGCACCAATCTACATTCCTGCCAGTGTGCCACAGAGGGCCATGTGCCTGTATTTGAACACATGAAGGTATTACCATGTGAAGAAAAAAAAAATCCTTGTAAATTCCTTTAGCACAAAAAACCCTTCCCAATCTCACAGTTTTCTTTAACCATTTTCTCATAAACTTTGTTCTGTTTTCATATTAGTTATAAAATCTTTTTACATAGTAAGGATTCAACTCTTAGTCCTACTGTAGCCAGTGTGTCAGCTGCTGTTTGATTTTATGACTCAGGGTTTTGGTTTTGCACATTTTAAGTGTGGCCACAGTAAGAGTAATGCTGTCTTTGGAGGGCAATGGGATTAGAAGAGGAGATGGTGACCTTTTTTGCCTGGTGTGGGCAAGTAGCAGGGAGAGGATGAGGGGGACAGCTTAGGAGAGGACTGAGGTCTCTACTCACAGGGTGTTTTCTGCCTTGTTGATAAGCAGGTACATCTCGTAGAACTTGCCCTGGGGGATGGCTCCATTGGGTACCAGCAGGCTGACCCCTGAAGAGAGAAAGGGGGTGGCGGAGAGGGTCTGGGGACTGATTGCAAACAGAGCCAGGCTACTGACCACAGCTGGCCTGTCACAGGAACACAGGGCCCCTGACATTGCTAGGGGGTCAGAGGTCCCAGTGTCAGCAACATGCCTGGCTCAGGACAAGATTCTGGGGAGTTGCCAACCGCTGTTAATTTTGCAGCCTGATATGGGCATTCCTGCCCTCCCTGTCACTAGAAATGGGATTGTTCTGCACGATTGTTGGATGATGTAGAGCTATTCTCCACCACTTAGCAGACAGCAAAACAGATGCTTCCTGAGTGGCCGGCCCAGGGTTCCCTGCCCTAAGGAGGCACCTACAGGTCTGACCCCAGTCTTGGTCAGACTTCTGAGGACAGGTGGATGGGCACGAAGACCAGGGTCCTACCTGTGCCAGGGATACTCAGTCTCCCGCCTAGGCAGCCAAAGGTGCCACTGATGCTGCTGCCTGGGTCTCGTGGCAGGCCCATGAGCTGCTGGGAGCCAAGGCTGGCACTGCGCAGATGCAAGAAGTGGGCATCCCGAGGGAAATCGGTAGGGTATGTGCCAGGTGGCAGGACCCCCAGCAGATCAGCCCCATCTGGCAGACTAGGCACAGAGCTGGTGGTGCCGGAGCTGTAGACCTTGATCTTTAGGCTGGGCAGGGGGTCCAGCAGGGGTGAGGTGGTCATGGGGATCTTGTCCGTTGAGTCCTGCAGGGCATACACGGGCCCGCGGTAGATGCCAGCACTGGCTGTCAGATCAGGAGGCACTGATGGGTGCAGGAGCTGTGGGTTATCTGCGGAGGTGGGGGTGATGGTCAAAACCCCTGGCGCACTAGCCCAGCCCCACTCTGCTGGTGTGGCTCCTCCTGTTCTACCCCAATGGCCAGCTGCAAAAGGCTCAACTGCAGCTTCGGGAAAACTGCAAAAAACTCAGGAGGGAGTCAGGAGCTCCGGTTTTGGCTGCTGTGCCCTTCCAGGGACCCCAACCATTCCCGCATCCCAGGTATCCTTGTGTTCTTACTGGGCCTTGTGGTCTTGAAGTTGACAGGGTGGAAGCCGCCAGTGAGGGCCGCAGAGGAGTCAGTGATGTCAGTGTCAAAGTCACGGCAGTTTCGGCGGTATACTACCACTCCCACTGCCATGAGGACTGCCACAACCACGAAGATAGCCACTACGAGGCCTGCATACAGTGCCACATCTCCTGAGGACTCCAGGACTGCAGGAACAGGAGGGCTATGTGTTGGGCAGGGCAGACACCCAGGCCCCAGGATCCCTGGGGAGGGGTAAGGCCTGGGGCAGACGGGTACTGTGCTGAGTTCTAGTCTAAGCTCTGCCATGACAGGTTGGTGGCCTCAGGCAAACCCTGGACCTTTCTAAGTCAGTCTCTTCATTAGTAAAATGATGTCAAGACCCCTGCCCTCCTCTGTTCTGTGAGCTAATTCAACATTTACTGCTGAGACATGGCATCACATGATGCATCCTATTGGAGCTGAGATTTCAACTAGAGAAAGCCTGCAGCAATTTCCATAGGACCAAAGGTCCTGGCTCCTGAAAATCCTTATAAGTAGCCATTCTGAGCTCTTTCCCATTCCGTGCTGAGGGTGCTAAGGGTCGGATGGAGGTAGAGGAGGCAGGGAGAAGTGGGGTGAGAAGCAAAGCAATGGGTGAAAAGGCAGTGAGCAGGTGGGCAGAAGGATGGAGCTGGAGGGCAGCCACCCATGATTATCTCTCCCTCCCCCAGCAGGAGGCTACAGTTGGGAATAATTTCCTATGGCCAGGCAGGAAGATGTCAAGGACAACAGAACTTCCTCTGATGACGAGAATATCTTGTCTGCTGTCCCTGTATGCAGCCTGCAGCCACTAGCTCCATGTGGCTACTGAACAACTGAAGTATGGCTGATGCAACTGAACAACTTAATTTTTTAAATGACTTAGTTTTAATTAAGCTAAATGAGTTTAAATAGCCACATGTGGCTATCACACTGGCCAGCTCAGGCAGAGCCAAGATGGCGGCCACCAAGATGGCTGCTCTTCCCTCTTGCTTCTTTTGGGGATTCCAGGAGCACTCTCTCCTGCCCTGGAGAGCTCTTGGAGAGGTAGGCCTGTTTTCTCTGCCTAGAGTCTGCCATGTCCTTGAGGTCAGCCTGAGTCTCACAGTATGGACTGCCATGGCTTTCTGCCCTGGATATCTGCTTGCTTCTGACACTGGTCTTTCCCCAATCTGCCCTCAGTAACCCTCATGCTTGGGCTCCCCGGAGGACCCTGGCGTCTAGGGAGCTGCCAGAGAAGCCCCCTCAGGGCTGAGCTCCCACATCTCTGGAGGCTCTTGGCCTAGCAAAGAGGTGGTCCTGGGGACCCCTTGCCTGGTGATTTACGTTCTCTAATCAGCCACCAGCCAGGCCCCCAGCGAGCTGGGCTGAGGGCCTCACTGCTGATTTTATGATTCTAGAATTATTTGGAAGTTGTGCTTTAATTGCCACAGGCCAATCTGCTGAAGAGGCTTTATAGTTCTGTATTATTGCAGCACCAGTGCGGCCCCTCAGGAGCTGCCATAGGGCAGGGGCATCACAGATGAGTTGGGAGGAATGGCCCAGCTTCTGGGGTCCAGTGCAGGGTCTTGGGGTAGACAGTCATGGCACTGCTCCCTCTCCATCCCAGAGAGGAAGTCCAAAGGCACATGGTTAAGAGTATCAGCTTTGACCACAAAATATTTGGGTTCAAATCCTGGCTCTGCTACTTTCTAGCTTGTTCCTTAGGCAAGTCCCTTCTCTCTGAGCCTCAGTTTCCCTTCCTATAACAAGTTAGGGGGTGTCTTAGCTTTTTGCTGTCAGCCAAGGCTCTGCCTGCCTTCTGTGATGAAGAGTGTGGACACATGCGGCGTAGGGTACAGGGGGCTCCCATGGAGGGCTAGTATGGAAGAACATCCTCTCTCCCTGCCCTGCACCCCACACCAGGCAAAGCCAGACAAGGAGAACCAGGGATAACCAGAGGAAAGAGGGCAGCTATGAAATGGGACTTACGGTGGCTTTTAGGATCGCTTAGAGTTCTCTTATCTGTTAAGGGAAATAAAGGGAAAGACAATGACACAGATGACAGGGAAAGGGTGGCAAAGAGGTGATGGGGACATGGTGCAGATGAGATGACAAATGTGGGGGCTGGGCAGAGGCCCTGTGGGCTGCTTTCCACTGCAGGCTGGGCTGGGGTGGCAGGGTCCCTCACTTGGCTCCAGAGCTCCCCCAATGCCTCCAGGGCCCTGTATGCTTGATGACTCACTCTGCATGCACAGCCCATCAGTGCAGTTCTTGGAGTCAAGTAGTGTCCCACTGCAGTCACGGCCTCCGTTCTGAGGTGGAGGAGCCATGCACTCACGACTGCGCCAGTGGGCACACTCAGTGCTGCAGGCTGACCACTTGCTCCACTCTGTCCATGCTCCATCCACTGCAAGAGCACAGCACACACACTGTTATGCACGCAGAGCACAGCAATGCACACACACACACACACACACACACACCCCCATGGCAGAGAGAGAATCCTGAACCAAGTGCAGGCCCTACAGAGAAATCAACACCATGTCCACGTAGCCCCATACCCATGAGCCGTCAGATGTGCTGGAGGGGGGACACAGAGAACAGACACGCACAGGATCATTAGTACACACACAGCCCAGCACACAACTGTACATGCAAAGACACAAACCCAGGGTAAAAAACCACTGCACCATCACACAGAAAACAACCAAAGGGAGAAAACATGGCCAGACGGGACACAGATGTCCTCATGTGTCTTAGTGGTTAAGTGCAGGAGGTGCTCTGGAATCCTAGTACCTCTGGATCCCAGTTTAGAGGGGCCAAGAGAAGAGCTCACCCCCAGATGACATCTCAGAGCCTCTGCCTCCACCTCCCTAGCAGCTCAGGGCAGAACCAGAGGTCAGAAGCCATTATACCTAGGTCAGCTTGGGTGGCTGGCTGCAGGACTAGGATGACCACCTGCCCTGCCCATGCTGGGACAGATGCGTCCTGACTTGGCACATATACAAGAGGACCTGGAGTGGGACTGGGTGTGGGCAGTGAGCCACCTGGCCAGTGGCCCCTACCTGGGCACACAGTGGTGCAGGCGGTCTTCTGGAAAGCCTGACCCTCGCAGAAGGCACCTCCATTGAGTGGGGCTGGGTTGGTGCAGGTCCGTGTGCGTTTCTGCCAGCCGCGGCCACAGCGATTAGAGCAGGGTGACCATTCTGCCCAACTGGACCAGCCGCCATTCACTGCAGGGACAATAGCCATCATCTATCTGGTAGGCCTGGCTCTAGGACCTCTTGGCCCCCATGAGTTCATCATCTGCGCCCCTCTGCTGACCTGGTCATCTTGGTTATGCCCCTTTTCAGCTGTAGGGCTGGGCACCAGACACCAGCAGGCACTCAAGAGGACCTGGGAGGTCGCTGTCTTTTCCCTGACCCATCGTATAGTGACAAAGAAGGTCCAGAGAGGGATCTTCTTATCCAGGATTAACCTGTGTGTGATGGGAGACCTGGACTCTGCCTGGAACTGGATCCCACTACAGGACTCTTTCTACAACATTCTGTAGTCACCTTGGTGGTGGCATGGAAATACCAGTGAACACTGTGCAAGCCTGGCAAGTGTCCTCCCCTGTGGTAGGACGATAGGCTTTGTATGGGGACCTGATTGGGGCTCTGCCTCACTGCGACACCAGGAAAATTGGGTCTTCTCCTTTAGACAGCTGAGGAGCCCTAAGAAGTAGAGAGTGCTTCTGACTGGGGACTCAGGAGTGACTGACTTGGCCACTCATTTTTCTGCGTGACTTGGGTCTATTCACCTCTCCTCTCTGGACTGCACCTCCACTGTTCAGGGGTCTTCCTGGCCTTCTGAGTGTGGGGTGGGTAGGATGGGTAACCCCAGGCGCTCTTTTCCCTCCCACCCTGAGCAAGTGTCCACACCGTAGACAATGACAGTAGCCGTGGTGCTCCGGCGCTTTGCCACAAGGTTCTTGGCCACACAGGTGTAGTTGGCAGTGTCCAGAAGGCGGGCCTGGCGGATGATGAGGTTGTGGTCGATGGTGAGCAGGAAGTTGGTGTCCTGGGTGGGGTCGATGACGTCCTCATTCTTGAGCCATTCCACCTGTGGAGTGGAGTAGGGGCAGTGAGGACCCAGGGCCAGCCTAACTGGGGGTGGGCCACTTGCAGAGGGAAGGAAGGGTCTGAGCGTGGACAGAACAGGAGATAATCTGGAGAGGCCAAACCTCTCCAGGGCCAGCACCAAAATGAGGAGCAGACTTACCACACTGTGCCTCAATTTGACCACCTCTAAGATGGGCACTGAATAGCACCTGCCCCACAGGGCTGTGGTGAGGGTGATTGAGCTGGCTCAGAGGAAGCACCGAACAAGTGTTAGCTGGCAGTACTTACCCCATCCTTAACACATCAGCTCTGACAGTGGTTGGTCCCTGGGTTCAAATCCCAGCTCTGCCACTCACTAGCAGCTGCACTCTGGGGGTGGCTAGTCCCCTCCTCCTCGCACTGTTTCCCAGCTATAAAGTGTGAGCACATTCACCCCACAGGGTTGCTGTGGAGATGAGTGTGCCAAGATCAGCCTGCATGGGAGCCTGATAGGTGGCAGCTGCCACACAGGGTATTGGTGGCGCCCATGGTCCAGGAGGGCGCACGCCGAGGGAGCTTAAGGAGTCAGTGCAAGGTTTGGGGAACAGGCTCCAAGTAGGGAGCCTGTTCTCCTCAGCCTGTCCTCTTTGCTCCCAGGTGCAAAGTTGCATCTTCCCCTTCCCAGCTCTAATTCCTGGACCACAGGAAGGGGTGTACATGGGGAGAGGGAGGGTGTATGAGGAAGGGTGGTGAGAGGAGTCAGACAGGGGGCACTGCTAGGGAGCCACAGGCCCTGTAGGGAAGGGCAGGGACCTCCAGCCCTCAAGGTGAGTGTACTCTTGGACACATGCATTATGAGATCCTACAGTGTCCATGAGACGGGGCTTGGCCCCGCCCAGGGCTCCCAATCCTGCCGAGGGACTAGCTGGGATCTGATATGTGCTGAGGTAGCAACCTTTGTCCTTAGTCTCGCTCTCTCTGCCTATGACATGGGGAGGTTCTGGAGGCTATGGCATCGTGGCTAGTGCTACAAACTTTGTCTGGCTCACCTCAGCCACAGGCACGCCTTCTGGCGGGCGGCACTGCAAGAGGACCTCATGGTCTAGGGGCACTTCCTTGCCTAGAGGCTCCTGGTCAAAGTTCTTGCGCAGATCTAGGAAAAGAAATGAGAGAGTCTGGAAGTTCAGTTAGGTGGGAACAGGACAGGAATCTGTAGTGCCTGCTATTGCCACTAGAGGGCAATGCCCGCCAAGGGAATTGTAGGGACACCTGACTACCTGGAGAGGTTTCTCTTACCAGGTGGTGTAGTGAACAGGGTTCCCTCCCTGTCTCTGGGATCCATACACAGAATCCAGGCCCAAGATGCACAAGGAAGCTACAGGTGAAAAGTGCCACTAGAAATTGTGGGCCCAGGTTCTAGTTCTATCTGAGCTGGTACCCATGTGCCTAATGTCTCTGTGGTGAGCCATCTCTCCTGCAGATGTGGAATTCCCTCTCTGGCATTCATGGGGAAGGGGAAAACACTCAGGGGGACAGAATGAGGGGGGTCTGGGTGACATACAGGCAATACGGACGTAGGCCCTGCGACTCTTGGTGGTGCCTGCAGAGCTCCAGGCCACACACTGGCACCAGTAATCCTCTAACCCAAAGAGCTCCTCCACTTGCTGTCGTGACACCTCAATCTGCACTTCTCGCACCCGCAGGCCTGGAAGGAAGAGGACATCATTAGGGGTAGGGGCGGGGGCAGGATAGAGACACAGGACAGTCCCCCAAGCCCTGCTGCCTCTTTTGCAGGACTGCCTCTCCTTTCCATCCTCTCCTCTGCCTTCTCCATGGCTAAGAGTAGCTCTCCGCTTCTCCCATCCATTCGCCACCTGGCAGTGAGGGCATGCTTGCCAAGATGCACACACGCAGTGTCATTCCCCTGCTCACATCACCTGTCTCTCAGCATAAAGACCCAGGTCCCCCACATGGCCTCTAGGCTGCAGGCCCCACCCTCCGGCGACTCTGCAGCCACTGTGCGCCCACCTCCCTGCCTGCTGCAGTCTCCTGGGTAACATCCAGGCCCTCTGTTCCCCAAGCTCTTGCAGCCACTGGACCACTGCACATCCATCCTCTACCTGGAACGCTCTTCTGTCCCCTCTATGTCCAGTGGGGACCCTAGTCAGTGTTTCAGGTGGACCTCACTTCTAACAGAAGCTCCCCTACCTTGAGCCACCCACTCCAGGTCTCAGGGCATAGCCCAGCACTGCCACCATACAGTCACTGCTCCCTGCCCACCTGATGTCCTCACCACACCAGTACTATCTGTGTTATCTGGACATGCACGTGTCTTAAATTGGCTGTCTGCTGGGCTTGGTCCTGTTTGTGACGGTGGCCCAGGTCCTGGTACAGAGGGGGCTGGACAAGTATCTGAAGAAAGCAGATGTGAGATGCCAGCCTCTCTAGCCAGCACTCAGGACTCTGTGGGGTGGGAGCTGGGGGAGGTACCTCTCCCTGGAAATCTTCTGCCCCAGTCCAGGGAAGAACTGGGTACGCCAGCCTACGCAGGGGGTCACTGTTATGCCAAACTGGCTTCTACAAGGCCCCTGCGCAGGAAAGGAATGAACCCACCTAGATTAGGGCATTGCTCTGGAGCTCTTCCCCAAAGCTTGTGGTATGACTTCCCTCCAGGAAGCCTGTCTGAAGCCTCCCCGTCTCAGAATTCCTAAGGCTATTCCTTCTTAGGATGCTATGTGTCCTATCTCCTCTCATGGCACACAGGCTGTTAAGCCCCTTGAGAGCAGGACTATACATGCTGTAGTTTTGTGCCAGGGTGTTTTGTGCCAGGGTGGTTACCTGGCCAGAAGGCTTTGAATCCTGGCTCCATCCTTACTCCCCAGCTGTGTGACTTCACTAAGTTACACAGCCTCTCTGAGCCCCGTTCTCGCATCATAGTAAAACACAGGAAAAGCTTTAAAATGACTCATGATGATGACTTTACCGTAGCAGCCAGTCCAGGATGGACACAAACTTACTCTGGCAAGTTGTTTAGAGAAACTGAGGCCCAGAAAAGATCAGTTGCAGGCCCAAAGTCTCCCCAGTAAGTGCCAGCAGAGCTGAGACCAGCTCTCTGATGTCTTGTCCCATTAGTGCTCTGTCCCTTTACCTTGAGGCCTCCCTGGACCCCTCCTAATGGACTCATTGCTGTAACTCACCCCCATTATCAAGGGGGGGGGGGTTGTTCTTGCCCTGGGAGCCCAGACAGTGAAGGAAGACCACCCTGATGATCAAGGACCTAAATGTGAGGTAGTTGGGGCCGCTGTCAGAGGGAAGGGGCTGAGTTAGTGAGGTGTTTCAAAAACCGGTGCTGCCTGGCTTGCAGAGCAGGGTAGCCCCTCTCTACCAGTCTGAGACTCTGGAAGTGGTCCTCTCAGGGGTCACCCTTCCTGCAGACTGCAGCAATACCCAGCAGCTGGGCAGAGGGAACCTGGCACACAGGGAGGCTGGACACCTGTCACAGCCACGAGCAAGCAGATGAGAGGCAGGGGATGAGAACAGGGCCTTTGGGCTCACCAGGTTGCCTTCCCAGAATACCCAGGGTTGGGCTGCCTTGCCCATCACTCCTGTCCTGCCCATGGCTGCTCCCTTAGTGCTCCAGGGCTACACAGAGCACTAGGGAGGGCTGGGTTGCAGAGCAGGATGCCAAGGCCAAGGTGCTGCCAAGGGAGGAGCCCTTGGGACCACTGTCACCATGTGCAGCTAATGGGGACAACAGTGGCCTAGTTTCTAGGGCTGGCAGGTCCTGTGTGCTTGGTGGCAGGGCTAAGAGCCATGCTGTCAGTTACTAGTACCACTAATCATCTGGGAGGCCCCCACAGGTGCACTGTCCCTTGTATTTCCTGGACCCCTACAGCTGGCCACAACCAGAGGGGCTCAGGGGACAGAGAAGTAAGGACTGATTGTGAGAGAAAGACAGAGACCAAGAAAATCCAAGAACAGGACAGAGGACATGGCATTTATCAGGGGTCTCCGTGTGGGGGCTTGGCTTTCTGCTCGGCTGGTACAGTGTTTGGCCCACCTCATTCCATCCACACCAGGATCTTCTGCTAACAAAAGAAAGGAGCTGGGGCTCAGACAGGCTGTGTGGCCTCCCCAAAGCCACACAGCCCTAGTGAGATTATCTGGATGGTGAGTTTTACTGTTTTTGTTTTTTAAAGATAGAGTGTTGCTATGTAGACCAGGCTGGCCTTGAACTGGAGAGTCACTTGCCTTGCCTCCTGCATGCTGGAATTACAGGCTTGCACCACCATGCTTGGGTGGGGTTTTTTGTTTGAACTTTGCATTTTATAAATTCCTTTATTTTTAGATTTTGTGTAAATGAGACCTCAAATCTATTTTTAAATTATTTTAAAGTTGTGGTAAGAGGTCTATAACATACACCTTACCATTTGCACCTGTAAGTACACAGGCATACAGTTTAGTGGTGTTAAGTACATTCTGGGCTATGGTTTTAACACTGGGTGGATCTGAAATCTGGGCTTTTCATGGTAAAACAGAAAGTGAAACAGGGAGAAAGAAGGAGAGAGTGTCAGAGGAGAGACAGAGGGAAGGAGACAGAGAAGGGAAGAAGAGGAAAGAGAAAAATGAAAGAAGGGAGAGAGAAAAATAGGGATGAGAATGGAGAGGCAGCTGAGATAAAGGGAAAAAAAGAGCTGAAAAAGAATGAAAAGAAAAGGATCAAGAAGGAGCTCATAAAAGCCAAACAGGAAACAGGAAGTCTGCTGGGACTAGGACAGGCTTTGCCTGGTGTTGAGGGGACTGTCCCCTCTTTGTCTCTAGTGCCAGGAAAAGACTTCACCTCAGGACTCCCAAGACAGGGTCTGGTGATAGGCAGTCCCTACTCAGTCCCTGGGCCCATGGGAGGTGTGAGGAGCCAGCTCCACCTCCCCCTGGACACTGGGGCTGTCCCCAAGTTTCAGTCATAGTTTCTTCCTTCGGTTTAGGGTGTAGGCTATGGCCCATAACCATTTGTATGATTATTTATGTAATTTTACAGGTCTGAGCATCCAGAATCCCGAATCCAAAATGATCTAAAACCAGAAGTGTTCTGAGGGCCAACATTGTGTTACAAAACTTTCAGATTGTGGAGCATTTTGAATTTCCTATTTGGGGGTTAGAGATATTCAGTTGGTAAGAAAAAAAATCAATGCAAATCCAAACTGAAAAACTCTGAAATCTGAAACACTTCTGGTCCCCAGCATATTTACAAGGGGCACTCAACCTGTAGTAACCCTTTTTTTGGACCTAAAACAATTTATTTCTGTAAAGGAAATGCATCATTATTGTGAATGGAAAACAGTATCACTTTCCACAATCACAAAGAACCTATAAAAATAATGATGGTGTGGGATTCTGGATTGGTGCAGTAGGTTGCAGGGTGTAGGCTGTGGGTGCAGATCTATGGGATGGAAGCTACTCCCCTTTGGTAAGAGAGGAGACTGGCAGCTGTGTGGGAGGTCAGGAATCGGCTGTGGACTGAAACTTGCTCTGGTCTGAGCCAAAGGATGGAGGAAAAACAGACAAGGGAACAAGTGCTCAGCAAGGGATTCAGTACTATTGACTGTGATAACAGTGGTCCTCTAAGGGCAGGCTGCAATTGGCCTCCAGTATTTGGGGAAATTCTGATCTAGAGTGTACCCCAGAGGGGAAACTGAGGCCCAGAGGATTATTACTATTGTGTGAAATCTACATAGAGGTCAGAGCTGTCTGTTGTGGCCCTGTGCCTGCCTCTGGTCTACAGTGTCCCATGGTTTCCAGGCTGGGGAATGGACTCACCAGTGGCCTCGTCCAGGCCCTCTTGTATGATGTGGTCATTCTGGCTGACCCACTCGCCGTTACACTTGAAATAGATCTGCGTGGCGGGGAAGGCTCGGCAGTGCAGCTCCACCGGCTTGTTCTTTACAATGTAGGCGTCCTGTGGCTCCTGCAGGAAGTGGGGCAGCGGCTCGGCGGGCACGGAGGGGAAGGAGTCCGGGAGCACCTCACCACCAGAGTCAGTGCCTGCAGAGGAATGGAACATCCATGAAGTCACAGCCCAGGTCCCAGGCCCCACTCTGCCACTCTGGGAGACCTGCCAAGGACCCACTCTGCTACCTGGGTTAGGTCTTCAACTGAAGCCTGTTTCCCCATCCTACCCTGCTTTAAACAGGCTGAGTTTTAAGGTTCCTCCAGCCCTGGGATGCTAAGTGATTCTATTTCCTTATAGCTAGAGAAATCAGAGAGGTCCAAGGAGGTGCATCAAGCCCTAGGGGCGAGGAGATCTCTCCAGGCTTCCTATTGTCCCTCGCTCTGGCCCTGCTCTGCCTCACTCCTGTATCCTATGGTCATGCCACAACGTGTGATGGGCTGGAAATCGACTGAAGCTGAAGTGTAAGCCAGGCCAGGTCTGCCCCGAAACCACCATTGCCTTTTGCAGCCCTGGCCAGCCAGGCTGGTGATGTGGAGAGAGCCAGGGTCTTGTGGGGCATGAGGTGGCCTGGCATGGGCAGCAGTGCCAGGCCCTAGCTCCCTGGTGCCTGGACCTCTGTAAGCCTCCTCCAAGAAGGCAATATGGTAGAGGGAAGGGGCTCCACCAGAGCCTTGCCTCCCAGGTCTGGGCTCTGCCCATCCTCTGGGAACCTCTTCTACACCCACATCTTCAGCAGGAGGGATGAGGAAACTTCAGGGAACAGGGGAGGCCATGCCTGCGGCAATCTCCTCCCCCCAAGAGGCCAATGGAACGCCTGTGTCCCTGGAAAGAACAGCACCTCAGGAGGTGAGACAAACAGGAAGGGAGGAAACCAGGCCAGGCAGGCGATTGGTTTACAACTCACTTAGGAAAATTGGCTTTCCAAAGCCAAATGCTGAACAATCAGGTGGCTGGGGACAAGCCACAGGGTGCTTGTCCTCCTCTGCTAACTGCTCCAGAGGACACAGGGACTGAAACTGTGGGATTGACCATGTCTGTGTGGCCCCTCCCACAGCCCAGGGCCTGTCTCAGCAGAGCGGTTCCTGGGAGGTCTAAATGGGGATCATGTAAGAGGCTGCGTGTGGCCCTAAGGAGTCCTCCAGTAGGCACAGGAGCCTGGTGACAACCAGTTTTCAAAGAGCAGAATGAACAAGACATGTAACTGTGTTTGCTGTGTGCAGACCAGGAGATCCTGCTGACTGGGGTGGCTTCTGGAGAAAAGGCATGGATTCTCACTGGCTCCAGGCTCTGGTCCCTGGGCCGTGCTACACACACACATGCATGCACACACCACCTGGTGTGCAAGGAAAGCGTGATGGGGTGTGAGCCCAGCTCCTCCAACATGTTCTGTGTCACCTGGAAGGAGGGCCTGAGCTCTGTTCTGTTCCTTAGTCCTGAAGAGGGCAGGAAAGAGAGGCCTCTTTTCCTCTTCCCTTGTCTGGGCTGCTTTGAGGATGGATAAAGGCCCAGAAAGGGGTGTGGCAGATAGCATGTACATGGTGCTGGATTGAAGTAACAGCAAATGCTCACCAAGAATCAAGGACCATGTTTTCAGTACTTTAACCAGTTACCTAATTCTTCCAACAGCCATGTTGTTCTGTTAGTTCATTTTATAGATTAGAAACTGAGGCTCAGAGGTTAAGCACCTTGTCCAAGGTCACGTAGCTAATAACAGGCAGAGCCAAAGTTTGAACCCAAAATGGACTTCTGATGATACCCAGGATATATAGTTCTGTAACACCGAGGGTGTTCCCACACTGGAGACTCCTAATAGCACCTGGGCACTGGCAAGGACTCTACAGTTTATGGCCTCTCTCATCAAAGGGCCAGTATGTCTGGGATTGTCATTCATTTCAAAGTTGAGGAAACTGAAGACCATCCAAATGGGGCCAATGACTTGTCCGAGGTCATCAGGTCAGTGGCAGCTAACCTGGACTGGCTCTGAGGATCCCCAAGGCCAGGCCAAGGCTCCCCACACCCGAACCCTCTGCAGCAGGAGACAAGCTCTCTGCAAGCTCATGTGCAGTCTTGAAGGTCTTCTTGATGGGGAGATAGGCGATACTGGACCACAGCCCAGAGCTGGACACTGTTTCCAGGGAAGTCAGTTACTGTGCCCACCCTGAGACAGCCGCTGTGGCCTCCTGCCAGTCAGGCAGTTCTGGAGTAGAGAGTCAGCCAGCCTCCCGCCTACCTCTCACCACTACCAGCTCACTGTGGTCTCTTCTCCTGAGGGCACACAGCAGGGCTGCTGAGGCTCCACACTCGGACACCTGGGTGGAAAACAGCCCTTTCATGCTTCAGGCAGCCCATCTGTGAAATGGGGGAACTAGTCTAAGTCCAGGCATGTGGGAACCCATGGGTGCATGCTACACACTGGCAGGGAACCACACTGCCCCAGCCTCTGGCTGCCCTGGTTCTTTGTAGCACTGTAGGCTGTATTTATGACTTTATTTGGCAGTCCTAATGCAGCTCATTTATAAAACAGGCGCAGTCGCAGTCCGGGCCAGCAAACAGCAGGTGTCTGTTAGTGCAGTGGCCCCTGCCTGTCCACCTGCTCATTGCTCCACTCAACGCTGGTGCAATCATTCATCTCTGTCCTGGGCAGGGACACAGCCGAGTGCCTCTTCAGTGCTTCTCTTTGGGGGCCCTGGATGACCTATATCCCCACATCTCAGGCATCTTGGAGGCAGATGTTGCCAGGAAACAAAATTAAAGGCCACCCAAGATTCCTCCCCAGAGGGACTGAGGGGACTTTGTGCTGGCTGGCATACAGTAGGCGTGTGGTGAACGCAAATAAGAAGGTGTAGGTGAGGAGGGTGCCAGGCCTGACCAGCTGAGCTGGCCCTGTCCCAACTTCTCCTTGTCCCTTAGAGAAGCTCATTAGGTGACCCAGGCTGGGTGGCCTCTGTCAGGCCCAGTGGTGCTAGCCTGGAGGGAGAGTAAAGGAGCCTTGGGAGTTCTGGGGGCTCCTCTGCCAGGCCTTGCACAGGACTTTTCTGTTTCCTCCATATACCTCACAACAGGCGCAGGTGGAGGTGCCCAGACTTTTCTGGGCTTTAGTATCTCAGTAATTTTTTATGGTCTCTCTAGATCCCCAAAGAATTCCCAATAGTTAGGGATATTAAGTAGTTAGATACAAACAACTCCTTAAGTTTTGATATTCTAGAAACTTAGCAGCCACTTGGAAAAGTTTTTAGCATAAACTGAAACAAAAAGGAATTCTGATTGTATTTCTAAATAGCCACAATAGACCATGGAATCAGAATGGACACCGCCACCCTCAATATTTGTCACTCCCAAGTACCCAAATCCCAGCTTTGCAATCTATGGCACCAAAGAAAAGAGTTGTGTGATGTAATGTGAAACTGAAATACCTTGAGCAGTAGTCTGAGAACTTCTAGAACGTCTGTTTCCCTTGAAGATTAAAAACATCCCGACGCACCCTGGGATGACTCAACACACATCTAGAGAATCACAGCTTGTGAGTTAGGTCCTGTTATTGTCGCCATCCTACATATGGATGGGGAAACTGAGACGAAAAATGCTTAAGTAACCGTCACGGAGCTATGACGCTAGTAACAGATCTGGGAACAAATTCTGGTCATCCTATACTAGTCCGTCTTCCAAACTCTGCTGAACTGGAAACTGTCATTTATGAACACTACAGGCCAGGGCTTCAAATGTTCTGCCTCCTTACAGCCTCTAAGGTGGAGATGATCTTCCCATTTTACAGATGAAGACAAGGGATATCAAGGAGCATCCTGGCCAGAGGGAGGAAGCCAGGGTTGGAGCCACATCTGTTGGCTCCCTGCCTGGCTGGCTTCGTCAGATTTCTCTTTGCAAGGCTCCATCTTTGCAGAGGACAAAATCCCTGAGAAGGAGGAGACGGGGCCTCTGCCAGGCCAGATCTGACTTCCCGCTGGCAGGAAAACGTCCCACATCATGTGGCATTGTCTAGTAGCAGAACTCACTTGGACAGGAGCTGCAGAACTTCAAGTTACCTTTAAAGTCACATGTGAAGGGTCAGACACTCCCGGATGAGGAAGGAAAGATGACACCGGCCTGCACAGATGTAGCTATGGGATAGTGGGTTGCAGGCTAAGGCAGCCACTGAAGGGCAGAGCATGGCTTTGCATTTGGAGTGGACTGATACTGCTGGACGCCCTTTCTCCCAGGCCTTGGAGGCCTTGACTACAAAATGAGCAGGTCAGCTAAATCACTCTCTCCAGCCCTGCTTTTTCAGATCCCTTATGGGGAATCCATTCCTGGGTGGAAAACGTCCTGCTGAGTCTGTTCTTTAGGCAAACGTGCCTAAAGTAAGATCTTGAACTTGAGATCCTCCTGCCTTAGCCTTCTGAGTGCTGGGACTACAAGCATGGAACACCACACCTGACTGTCAAAGTATTGACTACTGGGGACTGTCAGCATTCCTGGGGGAAGCCACAGGAGATTTGCTTCTCATACCATAACCTAGACCCTGGGGTCCAGGCTGGATGGGTATGCAGCACAACAGGCTGGCAGGAGACCCTAGACCTGGTTCAAATCCTCACTCTGCACCAGGAGATCTTGGGACGGTGTACTGCCTCTTGGGGAGTTTCCCTATTTATAAAGAGGATAACCAGTTCCTGACCTGTCAACTTGAAGGTGTTGTGAAGGTCAACTGGGAAACCAGATGCAGTACTGCAGCAGGGAGAGGGAGCAGGCAAGACCTGTTCTCTAGCTGAGTTGTGTGTGTGGAGCCCAGAGACTTCATACAGGTAGGCTCCCTGGTCTACCATCAACTGAGCTCCCATAGGCCAGAAGCAAAGAGAGGGGAGTGACTGATGCAAAATCACACAGCAAATTAACAAGACAGCCAGATCTGAGCCCAGTTCTGATTCCAAGCTGAGGTGGGGAGATGAAGTTCAGTGAGCAGTAGGCCTGTGGGCACCGGCTTACGCTCTTACTTCCCATACTGGGACGGGATTCCACTGTCACTCATCTCAACTGGGTCCATCAGCCCCCCTGCCCAGGGTGGAGACCTCAGTGAGAGGCTGCAGTGTCAGTGGTGGGG